CAACATGAATATCATATAAAAGCCGAACGGCTGCAGTACAACGATTTTCATCCGTCCTCATCTGGTGAGACCGACCAACGAATCTCTTCTTCATTCTACTTCATTCGAAATGAAGGTCCCTCTAACAATGTTATCTCAGGAGATTCATCGAAACCAAGTTTCTCTTCGTACCTGCTGGTGTTGTTGATGATACGTATGGGAAGTCGAAACTGTGGTTCACTCCAGCCGGGATGAGATAGGCTTTTATGAAGCATGGCAATACAAGGCCTACTCATCTCAATGTGGAAAAAAAATTAATTAAAAGTTCATAAATCCACTTAAACGACCCAATCCGACTAGTATTCTTATTACCTGATGGTCTATAAAACTACACATATGAAAATAAACTCAAAGGCGGATCAAGGGATACTGGCCGTCGTCTTTTGGTGAGCCCTACCCATGAAGCTCCTTATCACGAAATGAAAGTCAAATCAGCACTGAAGCACCAAAAGATTGCTCGAAAGCAGGTAAAGCACACTTGAGCGATACAGATCATTATGGTTGATACCAGAAATTCAATAAGGGTGGTTAAATAGAAATTGAAAGTGAATTTTATTCAAAAATGAGTTTGTTCAGTAGATACGAAGAAAAGTTGGGTTTCGAGAATTCTCTTGTTTCATAATTGTTGAGCTTACTTCCATTTTGAGTGAAAGTGTTTGGTGAAGAGATTCGAAGGTCGGTTCCACCAGAAGACGACGGCGGATTCCTCTTGACCAGCTGTCGACTGGCTTTACTGGAAGATTCATGCTGACGCTGTTTCCGAGGTAATCTCCTTTGATTTCGGTGAAAAGGTGCTAAGCTTTCGTCCGTCATGTGACGAACATCATCAAAACAAGGTAGCATCGCCACAACACGAGTCAAGAAAACTCACCGGCAAATCCCTAAAAAGTGGCATATATACTCTACATCTGGCCTCTTTGATCAAGCATAAAGTGATTTGACGGTGAGTTTTCTTGACTCGTTAGCTCGAATTTTGTTGTGACGATGATACCTTGTTCTGATGATGTTTGTCATATGACGGACAAAAGCTTAGTAACTTTGCACCGGAATCGAAGGAGATTGCCTCGGAAACATCGTCAGCATGAATCTTTCAGTAAAGCCAACCGACAGCTGGTCAAGAGGAATCCGCCGTCGTCTTCTGGTGGAACCGACCTTCGAATCTCTTCGCCCAACACTTTCACTCGAAACGGAAGTAAGCTCAACACTTGCTCAGTCGAATCAAATGAAACAGTCGCACACAGGCAGTTGCAAAATTAATGAAATACTATTGGGCAAACTGTCGATAGGCGAAAATGATCCTCACCTGCACCAATACATGATAAATGGCCTCGATAAGGCAGTCCGGCGACTGTGTTGTGGAGACAAAAGGCTGTTTCTCAGCCGGTTCTGCATCCAAACTGGACCCAGTGATTCTGCTGCCATTGCTATTAGCATCACCTTGGCCAACATCACCATTGCTACAAACCTTATCGACTGACTCCCATTTAATAGAGCACTCCGGGCCTCCAGCATTTTGCTGCCAATCCGTCGACTCGCACACAGCCAACAACTGCTCAGCCTCCCAATATAACTGCACCAGTGTTGGTAACATGTAGACTGCTGGCCTCGACGAAGAAGATGTAGCCGCCACTTCCGTGGGCTCATTTGGAGGTGGTGTGCTCCAGCTGACGAGGGCAGGGAGTGGTGGAGAGGAGATCCGATTTGCCGATGATCCGCAGCCTTCGAATGTCATCTTCTCGGAAGTGGTTGGCGGCGGAATCAGATGCTGCGTTAAGAGACGGCCATCTTTGGCCCCAACGATTGGTGAGAGAATGAGAAACTTGAGGCATCCGGTCAGGTAGAGCAAAGCCTCGATCCGTAAAAACATGGAGGCATCCGAGACTAATGGAGATCGTCTAGTTGGGCTAGAAGTAGTAAATTTGGAGTCTGGATCATTTCCGAATATGCCTACGTTGCTGTGCTTCTCACTACTACTGGATACTTGTGACTCAGCCACCAAAGGCAATTGCAGACCCAGTAATTCGACAGTTGATATCAACAAACCTGGACGGTAGAGTAAACCGAACGAATCGTGTTAATGCTATTTTCTGGAATAAGCAAGAAACCTGAGAGAGAGACTGAGTTGCTTAACCTCATTTTGTCTAATTCGACCAGTTGGTGTGAAAGACTTACATTTTGGCCATTTAAATTACTTTTAAACTATTGCCTATAAAAAACGTTTGGGCAAG